TAAAAATCTTGATAACATTTTAAGACATAGATACGAGGATTAGTAGATATTATACAATATATTTTGTACCAATTTGGAGATACTGAATTAGAAAATAATATGAATAATATGAATGTAAAAATGTTAAAATTCAAGAAAGAATATTTAAACTATTTTTGTGAATCTTTTAATAGAAAGATAACTTAAATTTTACTTGTATAGTTGAAATAATAATTTTTTAATATGAAGTGTATACTGAAACACAATTTTTTTTATATAATATTATATGACAAATATTCAAATACATTTTCACATTAAAATAGCATTCATTAATTCTATATTTTTACCATTATTCCAGGTCTTTGACGTAGTTTTAAATGGAGACCATACTGTTGTTACTGATTTAGATATATTTGAAAGAGTTGGACGTGGTATAGCACACGATGAATATATTCCATTTAAAGTTCAAGCAGGAAAATTAATATACAATGATGAGGAGTCTGATATTTTAGCCGGAAAAATTCGAGTTGAATTTATAAAGGTATTCCAATTGGTCTTCCTACTTATCTCATAAAAATCAATGCCAGTTAATTAATTGAAATTTAATCAATTTACATCAATTATTTGCAGGGGTACAGAGACAACCCAAAGATAAATGCAATCGTTGTTATAAAAGGAAATATAGAAGGTAGTGTTTAAAAATATGAATGCGTTTAAAAGTTTATTATTTATACCGTGTAATTAACTTCTATAATTTTTACAGATATACCACAGTTAGGCCCAATTCCTCAAGAACCGGAGGAATATCAGAATGTACACGAAGACGAAGAAGAGTCGACAGTGCGTAGTCGACACACAAGTGGCCCTAGAACTCCAGATCCGTATTCGATCGATGATTCTTCAATAATGTTACCAGTTTTTGTAGCAATCGGGGCATTTATTCCTTTACTATTTTGCCTCTGTAAACTATAGGCAGTGAAATTTTCTGCACAGAAATGCCTTGTACTTAAGAATAATAGTGTTCTAATCAGCTTAGGTGAATTTAGCGTGCGAGGACACGCGAGCATCGGTCATGTACATAGAAAGGTGATTTTTCGTTTATTAAGCTACTTCAGCACACTTTTTCATAGCTATTTATTATTAATTTAATCGAATGAACATATCTATATATGGTTTTGTATATCAAACAATTCAAATTAGGTACGAGATAGGAGACACTGAAAAGTGAGGATTTGTGCAATCATGACTTTCGTTGCCACTTTATGTGTTCATTGGTCAATTATTTAATAGTTAACATTTTATTGGCAATTAGCACAAAGGTTTGCACACATTCGTCTTTTCCTGAACAATTGTATAAAGTTATTAAACCTGCGCGATATTTTTCTGTAATTCAATGCGATAGCAGAAGAACGATCAAAAGTGTAATACGACTGACGTATATTTTTTTGTTAGATATTTATCTCGTGTTTTGATTGAAATTTATGTGATTTATGTTTTCGATTTCTTTCGTTTATTTTGTGCGTTAAACATACTGTATGAGAAATAATTTGCATTCACTATGTCACATATATTCCGTTGGAAATGGAAGTGCATCAAATAGTCCGTAAAATACCAAAGGAATTTTCATCTTTTGCAAATCAGAGTAAATAAAGCTGTTAATATTGTCCTATAATAATATTCTTTTCATAATTTACACATAAATTGTTTTCGATATACCAATTATTATCACTTAAAAATTTATATTAAGAATGTTGAATCATGTATTAATAATAGACATTGTTTACAATGTTATTTTCTTCAAATTAAGTTATTATTTGTTATGAATATGTATACGATCAAGGATAAAATGCGTGTATTGAAAGTTCTTAAACGAAACGACATTTATTTTTTAGTACAATAATTTAATTATTATTTTCTCAACGTTTGTATAAATAATGTATAAAACAGCTAAATTATACATAAAATTATATTAGTTTTGAAATATGAATAATACGATTGCAGAAATATGATATATAAAAATAATGTTTTTCATTATTTATTTGATAACACTGGAAAATTAATATTTATTGATACATGAATAAGAATGAAAGCAGTGTAAAGTGTTTTAATTATTAGTTTTCAGATAGTATTGCAAGTTTTCGAAATGATGAATTGTACACTTTTAACTCATCGCAGTTAAATCTGTGCGCATTAACTAATAATACATGGAATTGTTAAAACACAATAAAACAAAAACATTCACAAGGAAATAATTACAAATTCGTTTTAATTGTGAGTTCGAACTTTGTATCCAGGGAAACAAATTTTGCCTTGCTTTACTATTCTAATTTAAAATAAAAAGTTAATAAAATAAGACTCTTGGTTCATAATGTAAATAAATTAAAAATAAAATAACTCTGCCAAATGTTATGAAAGATATATTTTATTGTGTTTTTGCATATTCTTGCATCTTCGGGGAGTAATTAGGTTACTATTTAATAGGCGAAGATTTATTGACAAATTCATATTTTTCATAATCTAGGTACGAATAGAAAATAAAGAATAAATTCAATCCACTTTGTTTTCTATCCATTTTCCATATTGTCCTGAAATAGCAGCTCCAGATAAAATAATGTATAATAACTGACTACTACAATT